TGCTATGAATGTTTGAGCTCGTTGTCCCAAATCCCATCTCTGAGTCTCATCTTGTTCTTCTTCGAAGCAGAGAAAACAGGGGCTGTCACGAAGTGCAAAAGAGATCATGCCGGCACCATCCCTTTGTGAGCCTCAGGACACAATGCCTGTATAGGGTGGGGTGGCCCTGTGGAACTCAGCCCCAACCCCATGGAAACAGTGATGTGGCTGGCTGGGGGCTCCCTTCGAAGCGCCCCACGCTGGGCGTCACACAATGACCCATGACGTCCACATTCCTGTTGTGCCCGCTGAGATATGCACAGGAAATGATGCATCTGCCTGTAGTTCAGCCCGGAGTCCTTTATTTTTGGACATAACATAATGGCACGACTAATTTAGTTCTGACGAATTACTACTGCCCTGAGAGGTCAGGGTGGCTCCTCGTTGATGGATGGAGCTCTGAGTTTCCCACCTCTCATTCTTCCCCTCTTCCTGCCTCTTTGTTTGGTTTCCAGCTGGACATAGCAGCCATATGGCATTTCTCTGTCTTCTAGCACTGGAGACTATGGATGCCTCAGCAGACTCCAGACTTCCGAGTTGGGTGGGGGGCCTTCCCCGGGGAGAGGGCTATGAAGGTCTTGCCTTTCTTTCTGTGCTTGACATTTTCACCTCTTGTCCCCTGGCTTAAAGGAGCACAAAGAAAGAGGAAGACTCGCCCTCCTCAGGTCTAAGGCATTGACTGAACATTATTAAATGCCAGGCTTGAGGCCATGAGCTGTGTGCACCCTGTCTCATTAGATGGGCACTGATATCATCTCCCTGTTTCACAGCTGGGGGATGGGGTTACTTCTGCAAGGATGTGTGGCTGGTACAGAGTCATGTAGTGCTTGACTCAGATGTATCATAGTCTGAGTCATTTTTTTTTTTTATGTTTTTATTTTTATTTTTTTAAGTAGTCTCTCCCCTCCTTAAAAGGCTAATTTGGAGAGTGAGAGCCAGTTGGTTCTCATTTGCTATGACACATGTCAGCATTAGGGTTGTCCACATTTTAGCATCCGTTGGAGAAAGTTTCTGGAATGATGGGGCACCAGGTTGCTGATATAACGGAGATTTGACTTGTCTTGGGTCAACAGAGCATAGAAACTGTAACAGAGACTGTGGTCCACGGAAAGCAGCCTGAGTAGTAGGGACCTCCTGGCATCACGGGCCCTTGTGACAGAGTAGACATCTTCAGTGGTTCCTAACCACCTTGCCTCAGGAATTCTGACTCCAGACACTCTTGGCTACAGTCCAACTCTGACCTTCATCCTTAATTCTGATAGATGGGCTCATGGATTCAAATTCCAGCCTTCCTCTTTGTGACCCCCTCAAACATATCTACAAAGTAGATGGGGTGGGAAAAGTACAGCTCAAGGGCCAAGTCTGACCCACTGCCTGTTTTTGTGAAGTTTTATCGGAACAAAGTCATGCTTATTCAGTTGTGCATTATCTACTGCTGCTTTCATCTGAGTGGAGTAATTGAAACAGGCCGTATGGGCCACAAAATCTACAGTATTTACTCCCTGGCCATTTGCAGAAAATATTTGCAGATCCCTGGTGGTGAAAATAGCTTAAAATGATAATAAACTTAGTAGGAGCAAACAATATTGAGAACCAAGTTATGAATAATAGTTCCCAGTGAATTATCATGTTGAGGATTTCAGGACACGTAGGCAGGCACCTCTGTGCAGCTCTGGGATGGTGTCTCCTTGCGTCACACCCACATCTGTCCCAGGTCTCTCACCTGTTTCTGTGCAGAATCATATGCTTACAAAGTTAAGTTTTCCTGCTCCAAAAGGCACCTCTGTATCTAGAAACACTCTCTTATCTCAGCTTCCTTTGTAAATTTCCTGCAAGGAGAAAACTTAGTGATTTCTTATTGTCAGAGGACCGAGACCTAATTTGAAGGGAGTGGTAGAATGAGAAGGTTCATTTGTCTTTATGATATCCCTCCTCCCTCCATTGTTCTCAGCCCTCTTCCTGATAGCCTCCGCTGCTCCAGTTTACAAGATCTGTTTCTTCTTCTGGTCTCTGTTTTTATTAAACTTGAAAGGACAGGACATATTATTTCTTTATTTTTGTAAAGGGAAAGAGCTATTAGGCTTTCAAAGCTGAAAATAAAAAGGCAGGATCTAGGGGGTAAAACAGACTAGCCATTGACCTGAGTGTGTTCAGTGACTTCATGCAGAGCTAATTCCGACTATTTATCAGGTTGCCCTTTTAAAGTAAACTTCCCATAATAAAATTGGCCACTGGGAAGACAGAGCTGAGGGGTTCTTGTCCCCCAGCTTGGGAGCTTCAGGTTTGAGGGGTGGCCTGATGTGGTGGAACTGGAGCAAGGTGTGTCTATCCTGCTCTGATTTCATGGCTGTGTACCCTCTGAATACGCTCTGAGACTCAGACTCCTCATGTCAAGTGGAGTTAGAAGTCCCACCTTCTATATATCCAGGTGGGTGAGTGGGGTGTAGCAACAGGTGTGAGGAGGTACTTTATGAGTTGTCTAGCATTTCTGGGGGCCAGTGCTTATATTATGCTTTTCTCCTTGCAGTCTCAGGGCTGTGTATCTCTGTCATAGCCTGCAGATCAAGTTGAGGTGTTTTTTAAAATTTAAATTTACATTGGGGCACCTTGGTGGCTCAATTGGTTAAGTGTCAGACTCTTGATCTCAGCTCAGGTCATGATCTCACGGTTTGTGAAACTGAGCCCCACGTGGGGCTCTGTGCTGACAGCATGGAGCCTGCATGGGATTCTCTCTATCTGCCTCTCCCCTCAAATAAGTAACTAAAAGTTAACAAAATAAATTTAAATTTAAAATTTGAGAATTGAAATGTAATTAACACACAGTGTTATATTAGATTCAGGTGTATAAGTTGAGGTTTTAACAGCAGATATATAGTGAGTGACCCTTCCACAGGGGTTGCCTCAGGGGAAGTACGTGGGAAGGACATGGACTTTGGAGAGTGACAAGTCTTGCTCTCAATCCAGTGCATCACTCACTGGCCATGTGATCTTAGACAAGCCACAGCCTTTCTAAGCCCATTTCCTCCCTGGGAGAATGGGGTAATATTATGTGTCAGTTTGGATCACCCAAGAAGCAGATACCAAGATGGCATTAGATGTGTCTGAGGTCCCTTGGAAACATATGTGAAGGGAAGAGAGGAGGGGGTGGCAGCAAGGGTGGGCAGGGACCCCCTGCAGGCTACACTGCAGGTTGGACCCCTGTGAGAGGAGACAGGGAGGGAAGGGAGGAGCCCCGACCATGGTGTGGTCCTGAGAAAGTCTTGCTAGGTTTGTGGGGGGTCCCAGAGCAAAGATTTCCTGATGTGGGAAACAAAGGCAGATGGAAATGGCGGATAAAATTGAATTTCCTTATAATCTGCAGCCCATTGATGAGTACTTAAGGCAGGCAGGGTATGGCGTTTCTCCAGGAACTCCCTGCTGTCTTGGTGGTGATGCTTTAGAGGGGAAAACAGCCGTGGCTTGGTGGTAACTAGGCCCCCGGTATCCTCTTGAGTTTTCTTTGGCATGTGAAAATCCCTTTGAAAATTTCCCTTTGACTCTACCTCCCCCAACTCCCAAGTGTGTGATCGGTCTCTCCTCACAGTCCTCGGGGTAACTCTTCCTGCCCATGAGTCCTGCCCCCGGGCTTTAATAAAATCATCTTTTTGCATTGAAGACATCCCAAGAATTCTTTCTTGGCGGTCGGCTCGGGACCCCACCATGACTCTACCCCATTAGAGGAAGCTGCACCAAAAACGACTCCACATCTTAAACAACAACCATTTTATTGTAGTTCATGATTTTGTGGGTCAGGAATTTGGGCAGACTCAGCTGACTAATTCATCTGCTCCTTGTATCATTGATTAGGGTCTGTCTTCGTCAGTTTGGGCTGCTGTGACAAAACACCATGGACTTCCTGGCTTAAACAATATTTATTTCTCTAGTTCTGCAAGCTGGTAATTCCAAGATCAAGGCACCCATAGACCCGCTATCTGCTGAGAGTCCACTTCTGGCTTGTAGACAGCTACCTTCTCACTGTGTGCTCACAGGGCAGAGGAAGAAAGATCCTTGGACTCTGGACTCCTTCTTTTGCTAGCAGGGCACTGACCCCACCACATGACCCCATCGAAACCTAATCACTTCCCCCAAAGGCCCTACCTTGTCATACCATTCGGGGTTTCAACATATGAATATGGGGGTGGGACACAGACATGCAGTCCATGACAGGGTCGCTCAACGGTATTCAGCAGGCAGCTGGTCTGGCCTGGCGGGTCCATGATGGCTTTGCTCAGATGCCTGGTGGCTCAGTAGGATGGTGGAGTGGCTAGCAGACTGGGCTCTGCTGGGCCTCTCTGCATGTAGTCTTATAGCCTGCCTATAGTCCATGTGGTCTCCCCAATAGGATAGCTGATATATACATGGAAGTTCAGGGCTCACGAGGGAGTGCCCCAAGAGAGAGTGCTTCAAGAGGAAGTGCTCCAAAAGAGTGTACTCCAAGTGGGAGTGCTCCAAGAGACAAGAAGTAGAAGCTGTGGTTTCTTCATTGCTTCCCCTGTGTTCCCTTGCATGAAGCAGCCTCAAGCCTGCCCAGGTTCAGGGGAAGAGACACAGACACACCACTTGAAGACCGAAGCATCAAAGTGTGACCATCTCTAATTCAGTACCTGTCTCCTAGGGTCATGGAATACGATCATGTTTCTATAGCACCTGTCATGGGGATTGGCACAGAGTAGACACCCAGCAAACAGGAGCTGCCATTCTGAGTGTTTTTCTCATCATTATTATCGCTGCTACCACCACACCCCCATCCCATCCCTGCCTGCTCTGCAGATATGTTCTGTGTCCCATGGTGCCAGAGTGACATTGGCTTAGTTAAGCTGTGAGCCTTTTTATAACACGCCCACCCGGGCATATCAGCTTCCTGGCAAAGTCAGCGCTGACTCCCCGCCTCCCAAAGGCTCAGGACCGCCCTCCTTCCACAGGTGTGGTGGACCTCAGCTTTGAGGCCGAGAGTCCAGTGGCGCCCCCAGCTGAACTCCTGGAGCGACTGCCCAGCTATGACTGGCTTTTTCAAGGAGGTGGTAAGTCTGTGGGGTCTTGGTTCCTACAGCCTCTTTCTGGGGCTTATGCTGGTTGGGGAGACCTACCTGGAAGAGGCCAGTGCTGGGATAACCCCCTTTCCCTGGGGGCCCCTGGGAAGCCTCTTGTCACCATTGGGAGGGAAAAGGAGCACATGGAGACATCAACCCTATGTCCATGAACATTCCATGACCATATTCATGTGTATTTAAGACTGGAATCAGTGGTGAGAACCACTTTTTCTTGCATTAGATGCATTAGGATGTGAGGTTCTTTCCTCTTGTCTCATCCAGCCTTACATTCAGCCAGTCTATTCTTCCTTCACCCTGCAAATACCTGTGCCTTTGAGCCAGGATGTTGAGCCCCTGACTCTTCCCCTCTCCCCCAGGACAGCAGATATTCTTCCCACCTTCGGAGGCTCCAGGGAGAGCTCTGGAGCAAAGGTGCTGGTCCTCGTTCCTGGAGCACAGGTGAGCTGCGGTGCTATCACACAGGATCACAAGTGGTGACCCTCACATCACCATGCCCCTCCCCCACCATGCCAAGAGCCCTCCTCGGGGATTTTAGGGTCTACAGATCTCAGCCCTGACAGTGCATCAGGAGCCCAGACCTACTGGATCAGATCCTCCAGGGATGGAGGCCAGGAATGTGTACTTTACCAAGCTCTTTCGGCTGTTTGGCTACCAAACTGGGATTGAGAAGCATAGTGTTGACCAGGGGTTGTGAACTACAGCTCCCTGGGCCAAATCCAGCCACTGCTTGTTTTTGTAAATCAAGTCTTATTGGAACAGAGCCATGTCATTTATTCACTTACTGTCTGTGGCTGCTTTTGTACTATGACAGCAGAGGTGAGTGATGGAGGCAGAGATTGTATGGCCCATGAAGCTAAACTATTTACTCTCTAGTCCTTTGCAGAAGGAGTTTGCTGACCCCCTGGACCCAGGACCCTGGACAGAGCTCTGGCTTTCCAGCCAGCCAGCTTTGTGCAGGGAGAAGGTGGAACCCTCCCCCCACCCCCCGCCGCCACTTTCTGGGTCTGGCCTCTTGGCTGGGTGGCTGTATCCTGCCTTCAAGGAGTCTCCTGGGTGCTCCTGGCCCCACTGCTGCCTGGAGTGCCTCCCCTTCTCCTCCCTGGCTGCCCACCTTCCATGCCCGGGGCAGACCCTGCTTTTTCTGTGGAGTGCTCTCAGCCACTCTGGGCCCCATGCCTCCTGCATACATGCAGGCCCGTCAGTGCACCAGGCCAGAGGTGCTGGAGACATCGTGGTGCATGAGAGGGGCTTGCTGTGTGCAGTCCGGCTGCTGTGGAGGAGTAAATGAAGATGTGAGGGAGGAAGAAGGAGGGGCTTCTGCTTCCTGGAGGTCTTGGCAGAGAGGGCTTTACCAGGAGGGGACATGGCAGCTGGGCCTCAGGAAAGAGCTTTCCAGGAGAGAGAGACATCCAGAGAGAAGGCCGAGGAAGGGGCCATTTGTGGTCGGCCTTCCATCCAGGGCCACGCTGGCCCAGCAGGCTCACGGTGGGTCCCTGTGGGCTCTGTGGCCTGGTCGTTCTTGGCAGGGGTTTTCTTGTGAACACTGCTCATAGCTCCTCTGGCTGAGGGCAAGGTCCCCAAGGGCAGGAGCGTGGTCTAGCCTAACTTTGCTTCCTCCCAGCTGTGTGACATCTTCTTCAGACCTCAGTTTTCCTCATCTGTAAAATGGCCTGATTCATCTATAAGTGTGTGTGTGTGTGTGTGTGTGTGTGTGTACATGCATGTATGTTCTAAGATTGTCTCAGCTCTTCTCCTGAGCCCCAAACCTCAGCCACAGCAGAAGTGCTGTCCTCTGGACATCTGTTCACACAGTCCCTCTGCCAGAGTTGCCTTCCCCAGATGGACCCCTGAGTGCCTCTCCATCACTGGGCCCATGGCTTGTTCCCTACCTTCTCCTGACCTCCGTTTCCAACCGCATCAAGCGGGGTCTGGCTGGCCCTGATGAGCCTGCAGGCCCTTTCCAGAGATGCTGCTTCTGTGGTCTGTCCCCAGCAGAGTCCCCTTGGTGACAGAGGAAGTGGCTCGTGAAGCCCTCCTTAGCTTCGTGAGCTCCAAATGCTGCTACGGCAGCACAGTTGCCGGTGACCTCATCATCCAGGGACTGAAGCAGCAGACGCTGTGCAGGGTAAGGGGGCCTGGGGCTTGCAGGTGCCTGGGGACGGCTCAGGCTTTAGGGCCTGGGGGGGGGGTGACTTGTGTGAGTTCCAATGGGAGAAGGGAGTCTTGGGGGCCGGGGGTTGGTGCATGTGAACAGCGGTGACACAGAAGTGCCTTTTGCCAGTTCTCTGGTCTGTAGTTGTGAGTGATGACACAAGGCGTCATATGACCAGTCCTCACTGCAAAGCTCAGCTGTGCGAGGCATCGTGGGAGGCACATGACACATTTGTCTTATGAGTCCCACGGCCATCCTGCACGGTAGATCTTCCTGTCACCAGTTAAAGGGGAGGAATTGAAATAAACTTTCAATTTACTTGAAAAGTAAAGTTACTTGCCCCAAATGTACAGCTAAAGTGACGGAGCTAGGACACTAAATCAGGTTCGTTGTCCATGTCCTTAAACACGTGAGTAACCTGCTTCTGGGAGAGGTGGGCCGAGAAAGGCCCATCTCCTCCCCTTGATCCACGAAGTCACATCTGTACCACAGAATCATTTATTCACGACCCCTCGGCCCGAAGCTCCAGGGAAATTTTATGTCTGGTACCGAGACCACAAGGGGCACTTATGTCCCTTTATGTCCCCTTCTGCATCGACAGGGCCAAGGAACAGCTTTTAAGTTCACATTTTGTAGCGCCACTGGACCAGCTGTCCTCTGGTGAGTGCACAATCATGCAGAAAACGTGGGAGTAGTTAGAGTAGGGGCCTGGGGCAAGAGGCCCCTGTGTAGCTATGTGATCTTGGTCAAGGCAATTGACCTCTCTGAGCCTCTGTTTCCTCCAATGTCAAAGGAGGAGACAGATGATGTCCAAGATCCCTTCTTGTTTTGTGGTTTTTGTGGATGAGATCGAGAAGGAGGATCTTGACACCAGGCAGGAAAGTTCCTTCAAAGTGGACATTTGGGGGAGCAGATTCCTTGGGCCTCCATCTGTAAAAGGTCACTTGACACCCCACAGCTTGCCATATATAGCATTTCTGGGTGTAAAGAAATGGGGAGCTGAAATCAGCTTGTGAGCCCACCAGGGGAGAATTCCTGGGCCTGACTGACCTCGCTGCAGGTGTCCGGGGGCATCCGGAACAGAAATCATCATTCACAGCGTGTTCTAAGCAGCCTGTGGTGCCAGGTGTGGGACCTTTCCATTTCCCTGGGAGCCTCTGCAGGTGGAAAGCTTCCCCTTTTTTCATAAGGCTGTCTTCCTAAAGGGCATGAGTGTGAACATGCTGATTTTTTTCCTCTATAGTATCGACTAGAGACTTTTAGCGAATCCAGGATAAGCGAATGGACATTTCAACCCTTTACTAGTAAGTGACATCAGTTTAATTGGGAGCAAATATGGCAGGGGTTGGTGGAGAGTATCAGTACACGTCTTAGCCACTGACCCTGAATGAGATGCTCTTCTGCTTGGAGCCTTGGTTTCCCCACCTCCTGTAAAATGAGGGGCTGGGCTTTCATCTCAGACTTTCCAGTGCTTATCTTAGGAAATCTTTCCTGTCCAGGAGGTGGTTTGCAGAAGGGCCTGAAAAAGTCTAGGGTATACCTTTGGCCACCGACTGGTACCACCACACGGGGCTAGATTACAAAGGCAGCCTGTGTGCTTGGGCTTCCGCTTGCCTTCCAGGCCATCTCCAGTGCCTCCCTGAGTCCTTAGGACCCCACTCATCCCGTGTGCTGCTGAACCCCACTAGCTGTTGAAGGTTCCCTCTGGGAAGCCCTGAGCACTTCCTTCTCTGTGGACCACTGGGCTCATCCTTCAAGACTCAGCTCCTGTGTCACCCTCTTTTATGAAGCCTTTCAGGATTTCCTCACCTGCTGACCCCTTCTCCAATAGAAGGAGTCAGTCTTCTGAGTTTGCACAGCCTTTATGCAACTCTTGTCTGAAGTATGTCCCGTTATATTGTATCATGATTGTAGCTGCACCCTATCTCCTTGAACAGAGGAGAGGACAAAGGACAAGGAAGTGGGGGATGGTCACCATAGTGATGGTAGTTTGTGTTACTGATCCCTCTTAAGTGCCACCCCTGTGCTAAGCATTGCTATGCCTTTTGTTAAATTTCACTACCATCCTATATGGTAGGTGCCCTATATTTCCCCCATTTTGGAGATGAGAGAATTGCAGGTCAGAGAGGTAAATTAACTTGTCTGGAGTTACACAGCTAGGAAGCAGAAGTCAGGAGTCAGGAGTCAAACCAGGTCTGTTCAACTTCAACACTTGGGTGCTTAACCATGGACCCCGAGGGGCCTCAGGTCGGCCTGTCCCTGAGTGCAGGATCTTGCCTAGTGCCTGGCATCGAGGGAAGGCTCCATACTGTATAGTAAACAAACTAAAGCTCGTTCTTCTAGCTGTTCACTGGCCTTACAACGATCCCTTTCTGTGTCAGACCAGTCAGTGGATGGGCCACAAAGAGGGACCTCTCCCAGGCTCTGGGACATCAAGGTCCAAGTCCCCCCGATGTTTCAGGAAGACACAAGGAAGTTCCAAGTGCCTCACTCGTCTCTGGTCAAGGTAACAAGGCTGTTGGAAACTTTGCCCTTTTCTGTGAGCTGGTTTCAGACATCCCAGTCACCAGTAATTCCTCAAACTCTATCTTTTTAAAAAAGGAAACCCAGAATGCAGACTGGTGTGGTTCAGTCCTTGACTATTAATAAGGCTAATTCTAAGGAAACCCAGTGCATGCAATATAGACCCATACAAAATTCCATGCAAATTAGGGGCACCTGGGCGGCTGGCTCCCTGGGTTGGGCAGCTGACTTTGGCGCGGGTCATCATCTCACAGTCTGCTGCTGTCAGCAGAGCCTGCTTTGGATTCTTTGTCCCTCTCTCTCGGCCCCTCCCCTTCTCTCTCCCTCTCACTCTCTCAAAAATAAACATTTAAAAAGTTTTTAAAATCCATGTAAATTAGAGAACAGTCACAGAGCGAAAGGATGATTCCATGTACTAAACTGTCACCAGCTTTAAACAGTGAGCATTCACATTCCGAGACCATCTGAGTGTTTTTATTTTTGCCCAACCAGTAAACAGCTGAAGTGCTGAATGAAACTGATATAAAATAAAGTTCAAACATCGTTTGGATTTTCAGCAGTCAGTAAAGGGACAGAATTTGACTTCTGTCCTGTCCTATAGAAATGTAATCATGACCTGAAATGAGGCCAACTAAACGTCTTACAAAACCACATGCAAGATACTTCCTATTCTGTTCTCATCTCTTCATCTGCCTTATTTTCACTTGAGAGCTTGATTCAAGCTTGTAACCTGTGAGTTTTCAGTGTCACATGATGACCAAGACTTGGAGAGGTCAAGAGAGGATTCCATTCCTTTCTCAGGAGTGGAAAAGATATTTTGAGTCGATGATTAAATTCCAATAGGCAGCTCTTTGCCTTGCACAGAAATGCTGTACAGTTTTTATGGATTCTATTCCCAAAGACCTCTCAGCTATCCAGCAGGCCAACAATATCAGCCTTTGTGGTGTAGCCTGGGAGCCTGAGTTAGGACACAGAGTTCGGAGGACAGACTGGGCTGGGGCTCTGAGGAAATGGTAACATGACCTCCTTGGCTTGACATTCAAGGCCCCCAGGAATCCTCATCAAGTGAGAATGGCCATCTTCCCACGCTGGGCCTTAGGGGCTGCAACTCCATTTGAGCTGGCGACACCATGGAGTGGGTGTGGGGCTGGTGAAATCAGGAGGTGCTGGCGCTTGGGAAACTGGAGCCCAGGAGAGCTTTTCACTTTCAGGAATGCCACAAATGCCATGGGCGTGGACGTTACAAGTGCAGTGGCTGCCATGGAGCTGGCATGGTGAGTCCTGGGTGGCCTCTGGTGAGTAAGTGATGGTGTGGGAGGAGGCTCCACGCAGCCACGCTTGGCTGGGGGCCTGGGGCTCCCCCACTAACAGTGTGACCTGAGTCAGGTCATCGTCCTTTTCTGGGCCTACATTTGCTCACCTGCAAAATGGGAACATTGGACTGGGTGTTTGCTACTGGCCTTTGTTCCTTGCGATGGTTTATGGCTTATGATTTCTCTTCTCCCTTTCTCTCATCTATCTACAAACATTTGTTGAGACTGAGTACATGCTCAGTGCTGGGCCCTGTAAAAGGGCCCTGTAAGAGGTGGGCCTTCCCTCTGGGGACCCTCTGTCTTTGGGGAGGACTGACAAGTGACCACAGTATGGGATGATGAGTCTGAAAAGGTGAAGTTCGGGGGCTTCGAGGGCAAAATAGATGGAAGCCTTGTGTTAGTGTCCCAGAGCACATAATAAATTACCGTAAACAGGGGGGCTTAAAACAACCAATTTTTATTCTCTCACATTTCTGGAGGCTGGAAATCCAAAGTCAAGGTATCCACGGGGTTGGTTCTTTCTGGAGGCCCTGAGCCATGTTTCCAGCTTCCGGCAGCCGCCCCCAGTCCGGCGTCCCCTGGCTGGTAGGCGCGCCACTCCATTCTCTGCCTCCGTTGTCACGGGGACTTCATGTGTGTCCCGGGGCTCCCTCAGAGTGTGAGGACACCAGGCACGGGGTTTAGGGCCCACCCTCGTCCAGAATGACCTCATCTGAACTAATTATATCTGCAGAGACTATCTCCAAATAAGGGCACATTCTGAGGTTCTGGTGGTTATAAATTTTGGGGGTGGTGGAGGGCGAGACACTGTTCAACGTAGTACGGGTCCGTAAGCTCACTGCCAGGCTCTGAGTGCCACCAGCCTTCAGGGCTGCTCGCCATCTGGGGAGTGTGACTGCGCCCCTCACATGTCTTCAGCAATCCCCATTTGCTCCTGATCCTTTGGACGCATATTGACCACTTGCCATGTTAAGCCATGCCTTCCTCTACCCTTCTCTCTGCCCACCTGCCTTCCACCCTCCAGATGCCCACCTTTCACCTGCTCTGGGCCTTCCTCTGCCTTCTCACAGGCTGCCTGGGGGGCCTGCCTGTGGCCCCCACCCATTTCTGTCTCCTGTGCCCTTGCTCCAGCCATACACCCCCTTATAGCCTTCCTGGAGCCCCTACCTGGGGGCTGCTTCCCTTCCTACCTGCTTCCCTTCCTCCCTTCCCTCTTCCTTCAGGCTTTCACTGGAATGTTGCCAGAGCCCATTTTGAGCCAACTATGGGAACGTAGCCCTGGGGGCCTTCCCGAGACTGAGCTTCCCATTCACAACTCCAGGCTCCTCCTCCATCCCGCACCTCTTCCCAGTCCCTCTGGCTGGCTGTTTGGTCAGGGCAGGGTCTCAGGAGCCCTGGGGATCAGAGAGGGGCAGGAGAGGATGATGTCTCAGGAGAAACACAGACGTGAGGTTGTGGCATCTCTGAAGGCTGCGCTGGTGTGTCCCAAAGATACCCAGTGTTCCTCGCTTCCATCTTACAGCTGATGGGGCTGAGGCCCATGGAGAGGAAGTGGCTTGTTCAAGGTCACCAGGTTGGGATTTGAACCAGGTCTCAGGATGCCCTTTGTCCCTCTTCCCTGGGAGGCCAGCAGGGGCTGAGGCTGAGGTGTGTCTGCAGGTGAGGTGCCCCTCCTGCAGCGGAGCCAAGCGCAAGGCCAAGCAGTCCCGGAGATGTCAGATGTGCTCGGGGTCTGGCCGGCGGAGGTATGAGCGGGTCTCCCCAGCACCGAGGTGTAAAGCTCTCTCTTACCAGCTTTCTTGCTTTTCCTTGTCTGCCCTTCTGGAGGGCAGTCAGCAGCAGTGTCTTGTCACTCCTGTGCCCCAGAGCTCTGTGCATAGTAGGTGCTCAGTAAATATTTGTGGGGTGGGTGAGCTTTCCTCCAGGCCTAATATTTCCAGAAGAGACTAGAAATAATTCAGCAATCTATGGGTATATGTAAAGAATGGAGCTCTGCAGAGAGGGTTTTAGGAGGGGAGACTTCTTCCTGCTCACGTGGTGGAGAAATGAGTACAGAAAGCCACTCACACCAGAGATCCTTAACTCTCTGAGTACTGGGGCCCAGGCCAATTCTTATTTATAACTCATTGCAGGGCCTGAGTGCAGGAGTCAAGGAAGGTTGGTTGATTGACTAAACAATCAACAAAGTTCCATTTCTGTTCACTCAGGTTTCTTTTATTTGCAAGTAAAAGAAGCTTAACTTAAATGAGCTTAACAAAAAAACTCTGCCCTTGTGAAAGAAAACTCCAGGATTCTATTTCTGGGATGGCTTCAGGTAGCTGGATTCAGGTGCTTAAACAATGTCACCAGGACTCTGTCTCCACCCCTCACCCTGAGTTCCTTTGTGGTGACATCATTCTCAGGCAAGCTGTCTCTTATGGTGAAAGAGGAGACAGCCAACAGCTCCAAGCTTAGTAAACTCAGTAGATAAAGATATCCCTCTCCTGATAGTAGATAAGTATGTCCCTTTCCTGACAGTTTCAAAACCACTTCCAAGACAGATCTCATTGCACTCACCTGGGTCATGTGCTCTTATTTGTGTCAGCCCCTGTGGCCGGAGAGATGGAACGACACGATTGGCCAAGCCCAGGTCCCAAGCTGGTCATAGAAGGGGTGGGGCAAGCCCACAATCCATGTGGGCTGGGTGGGGAAAGGCTGGTCTCCAAAGGGAAACTGGGGCACTGCCACCTGAAGCAGGAGATCTAGATGGTGGGCAGTGGAAGCCACTGATGCTCACCTTAGTCCACCTCCATGAGGAAGGATTTGGGGGCAGGCGCTCCAGAAGCCACCAGGACCCCATGACTTAGGTCAATGGTGCCGACCATGTGCCTCGCAGGTGCAGCACGTGCTCAGGGAGGGGAAGCAAGACCTGCACCACCTGCAAGGGGGAGAAGAAACTGTTGCACTTCATCCAGCTGGTCATCATGTGGTATGTGGTGGTGTCTCAATGCTGGGACCCCTGGGGGAGGCCAGGGGGCGTGGCCAGGATTGGTCTCTGCAGAGAAACTCCACTTGGTTGGGCCTTTCACAACACAGGGATCTGTGCTGGGAGAAAAGGGCTTCAGGCCACTTGGGCGGGGGAGAGGTCCCTGGGGAGAGGCAGGTGGGGTGGCTGGATGCTGGCATGCTCTACAACAGACTCCAGTTCGAATTCTGACATCGCCACTTTCTAGTGCAGCAGCCATTCAGCGCCTGGGCCTTCTCTTCTGGGAGTAGAATCCCTGTGTGTTAAGTCCCTCTGTCAGGGGAGGCACCCTGGGGCTGTGCTGAGGGCTTCACACGCGAGGACAGAATGAGGCAATAGCACAGAACTGTCGGTACTTTACTAGTTTCCCATTGTACAGATGAGGATGCTGAGCCCTGAAGAGGCTAAAGACCTTTCCCAAGGTCCCACCGGTAGGCATGCAAGCCCTCCAGCCCAAGTCTGTCCGATTCTAAACCTATTCTGCACTTCCAGGAAAAACAGCCTGTTTGAGTTTGTATCTGAGCACCGGCTCAATTGCCCCAGGGAGCTCCTTGCCAAAGCCAAAGGAGAAAGCCTCTTTAAGGATGAAAACACTACGGTAAGGAGGGATTTGAAGACCATCACACGGGAAGCTGGGTTCGGCCTCCCCTCCTGGTGGGCTGCATTTTACTTGGAAAGATGGCCTGGGTGAGGATAGCGCTGCCAAGCAGGAGACGCCTGTGGGGCCAGTTCTCTCTTGAATTTCACATGCTCAACCCTGCCCTTCCCCCCTCTCCCTCCTCCTCCCTCCACACCCTCACACAAGCCTTGAGACCCTCTGCCCATGCTAGGCAGTATTCTAGGCCCTTGGGATACCGTGAAACAAACTCCTCATCCTCATAAATCTCATAGTCTGGTGAAGGAGATGGTAAGAGTATTTCACCCCAATCTCAGATGGTGGTAAGGGTCACTAAAAACATGCAGGCAGGGAAAAGAGACAGGAAGGGGCGTGGTTTCCGCTGAAGGCCCGGAAGTGACACTGGGCAAAGACCAGAAGGGTGCAGGATGGAAGTGGACCACGTGGACTCTGGAGCCAAGGGGTCCAGCATCCAGAGCGGCAGAGAGACGTCTTGAGGAACAGTAAACGGCAGTAGGACAGGAGGGATGTGAGTCGGGCAGAGCAAGCAGCTAAGACATGAGAGGTGTCAGCAACCAGATCAGGGAGCGTCCTGTAGGGCAGGGAATTGGCAAAATCTGGCCCCAGGCTTGCTTTTATAAATAAAGTTTTATTGAAACACAGGCATGCCTGTCTGTTTAGTTATTGTCTGTGGCTGCTTTGGTGCTGCAAGGGCAGAATTGAGTAATTGAGACAGAGGCCCTATGGCCTACAAAGCCTAAAATATTTACTATGTGGCCCTTTGCAGATGAGATTTGCCAGCCTCTGCTGTAGGCCTTGGCTGGGAACTGAGCCTTTATGGGATACCTGAATAGGGTCCTCATTCTGTTTTCTCTGAGAGGACCAGGTGCTCAGCCCTTTTCTGTTCTTTCACTCTCTCATTCTCTTTCATTCACAGTAGCCTTTTCAGATTGGCTTCTTACACTTTATAGTATGGATTTTTAAAAGTTGAGGCATACTTGACATACATCATATTAATTTCAGCTGTATAACACAGTGATTCAATATTTGCATGTGTGGTGAAGTGATCCCCACAATGTCTAGTTAACATCTCTCATCACAGTTACAGTTAAGATCTAGTCTCTTAGCGGCTTTCAAATATACAACACAGTATTATGAATTCTAGTCACCATGTCACATCCCCAGGACTTATCTTTTTTTTTTATTTTTTTACAAATAGTTTATTGTCAAATTAGTTTCCACATAACACCCAGTGCTCATCCCCACAAGTGCCCTCCTCCATGCCCATCCCCCCTCCCCCCCACATCCATCAGTCCTCAGTTTTTGTCAGCATTCAAGAGTCTCTCATGGTTTGCCTCTCTCCCTTTCCCCCATCATTTACCCCCTTCTTCTCCCCCTTGTTCCTCCGTCAAGTTCCTCCTAATCCTCCTATACGTGCAAATATATGATATTTGCCCAGGACTTATCTTATACCTAAGCTTGTACCTTTTCACCACCTTCTCCCATCTCACTCACCCCCACACCTCCCTCCCCCTGGCAACCACTGATCTCTGTTTGTTTTTTACATTCCATGTATAAATGAGATCAGATGATATTTGTTTTTATGAATGATTTATTTCATTTAGCATAATGCCCGCAATGTCCCTCCATGTTGTCTCAAAGCCAGGATTTCCTTCTTTTTCATGGCAGAATACTATTCCTCAGCCCCATTTCCTAACCCCAACCCGTCTGGCTTGACGTTCCACTCCAGGCCCGAGTCGGCAGCAAAGGTGTGCTGGGTCAGAGTGGGCTGCAGGTGAAGGAGTGCTCTTTGTCCACAGCCCCCCTTTCTTGGTTGGAACCCCCGTGGAGGTCAGGGGCACCCCCGCTGGAGGCTAAACAATTCCCACCCACTCACTTCATGGCCTCGGGGCCCTTCCCTGTGTGGGCTTGTGTTCTGCCCGGTGTGAATCAGAGCGCTAGGGCCCCAGGTGCTGACACCTGCGTCAGGGCAGCGAGGTGGGCTGCGTCTCTCCCGCAGGTGTACCCTATTGTGGACTTCCCGCTGCGGGAGATCTCGCTCGCCTCCCAGAGGGGCATTGCCGAGCACAGCGCTGCCCTGGCCTCCCGGGCCCGAGTCCTGCAGCAGGTGAGTGGGGTAGGGCCAGGGGCAGTAGGGACGCCAGGCGTCCGGGGCCAGGCTGGGACTCCGAGGGGCTGGCCCTCTGGCCACATCAAGGAGGGAACCGGCTGTTCCCTCTGCTGGGGGTGTGGGGGGTTCCAGACAAGGGAGCGAAGGTGCGTCAGTTAGGGGAAGGGTGGGGGACAGAAGCCCTAGATTAGGAAGGGGGTTAGTCCGGGGGACTGACCTGAGACTCGTGTGGCCGGAGGGCAGACAGCAGATCATTGTGGGGACTCCGCGGCTGGCGGGACCACTGGACATCTTGAGAGATTAGGATTCTTATCCTGAGAGCAACCGGAAGTTATTGTAGGGCTTCAAGCAGGAGTGTGTCAGTGACATTTCAGAAAGGGGCGGGGGAAGTTCAGGATTCAGGGCTTAGGCAAGTCTGGAACCAGAGTCCTGTCCCTCAGGGCACTTTGCAAATCTCAGGTGTGTCCTTTCCCTCCTCCCTGGGCAGCGGTGGCCCCCGGGGTTAGATTGCTTTGGTGCTGTGTTGCGATGGCCACTAGGTGGCGGTGTTGCCTCTTGCCGCTTTGAGTGGTTCTTGCAGCCACTTGATGGGGGTCCCCAGAGGAGATGGGGGTTTGGCCCGGGAATGGCCAGAGCCAGAGCTCCCTGAGTCTTACAGACTAGGCTTAGATTCTGATTCTCCTGTGTCCTGACGTGGGCCTGGGCCAGCTACTTCCTCCTCCCTGAAGTCTGGTTTCTCACCAGTGAAAAAGAGATGTTAACACCACTTCAGAGGGTTTGGTAGAGATTCGATAATTTACTTTAAGTGCTTGGAAACTGCTGCTCAAAATGTCCCTTTACTTTCTGGTCCCTCTGCAATGAGTATCTCCCCTTCCCTTTCTGCACATCTCCCCTGTTTGCACGAGAGAGAAGGATGCATTTAATTAGAAAGTAATGAACAACATCTTGGAGCTGGAAAAGACCTCAGAAATCATGGATTTGGAGCACTGCAACCTCAGAGGCCTGCGCGGCCAGGCGGTAACATGAGTGAGGGAGCTGTCTTCTCCAAAGGGGCTGGGCAACTCATATTTGTGTAGGCACAGGGCAGAGATTTCAGACCTTCCAAAATCCAGACTTTAACAGGAAACCTTCAAATGTTTCAAAATTGAGAACAAAAATTTAAAAATTCTAGGAATACCTTATGGGCTGATGGGCTGGCATTGACCTGTGGGCTGTTGTCATACCTGGTCTAGTCCAAACCCATGAGTTTTCCAGTAAATCAAAGAAAGCTCAGAGAGGGAAAGCAATTTACCTAAAATCACACAGCTTCTTAGTGGAAGACCCCACGGTAGAACCCATTACCTAGCTCCAAGCCAAATGTTGTTATTACTCACTGAGCCCTGACACGGGGCTCAAACTCACAAACTCTGAGATCTCAATTTGAACCGATATCAAGAGTTGGCATCTTAACCAACTAAGCCACCCAGGTGGCTCTCCGTAGTTGGTTTAATGCAAAAATGTTTAAAATTACTTTATCTCCCATCTTTCTCTGCCCTTCCTCCCCATCTAAAAATTATTGCTTCTGGAAGACGTCCTGTTTGGCTAGCAGCTTTCCATGCACCCTGGGACGTCTCTGGGAATGACTGCACCCCCACTTTGTGAAACGTAGAATCAGGTAGTGGCTAAAGCTGAGAAGTCAGTGTGTGTGAAGGAGTGTAGTGGGAGATACATCTAGAAAGGTACAGGGGAGCCAAAACTCTAACTCCAGAGCATAAACTTCATCCCACAGGTAGTAGGGAGCTACTGAAGATTCTTGAGCAGGCAGGTGACTTGAACACTGAAGTTTTTCTCGGCTCGTTGTTTCCCCAGCGCCAGACCATCGAGCTGATCCCCCTCACTGAAGTGCATTACTGGTACCGGGGACAGACCTATGTCTACTACATCTATGGCACTGACCACAGGGTGTATGTGGTGGATTACCCCGAGCGGTACTGCTGTGGCTGCACCATCATCTGACAGGCACAGCTGTCTCCACAGCCTGCCACTCTCATGACCAAGGAGCATAGCTGAGGCCCCCGAGTTCACTGGTCGCTGGTACATTGGACCATCTTACAGAAACCCTGGTGGGTCCCGTCAGACAGTTCAGCTTATCATCCATCAAGCCACAAGCCTTTCCCAGAGCTCATCCGGTGGAATCCAGCCCGCGTTTAACCTCCACACGTTTCTTCACAACAAATAATTGAAATGGCGGGGGCCACGCCTCTGGTCTCCAAGCTAACGCCCTGATCTGGCATGCCGTTTGATTTTGCTTTTCCCTTGACCTGCTTCAGTTCCTCCATGCCACGGTCAGTGCCCTTTGCCCAGCTGAGTGTCATCGAGAGGTTTAAAGGTTTCATACACATTGGCTGCCTCTTAATGCATACCAAATAGTGCTCTGAAGCATCAAGAACAAAACCTAGGTGTGCCTGAGTGGCTTAGGTGTGTAAGCATCCACCTGATCTCAGCTCATGTCTCAACGTCGAGGTCATGAGTTCAAGCTCTGCACTGGGTGTGAAGCGTACTTAAAAGAGAAGAAAACAACATTTACTCCCCATTCTATGGGCTGGGAATTCAGATACAGCTACAGCAGAGATGGTTTATCTCTGCTCTGTGATGTCTCGAGCCCCTCCGGGAAGATTTGAAGGCTGTGGTGCCTCTGAAAGCTGGTTCACCGAGGGGTCTGGTGGCTGATGGTGGCTGCTGGCTGGGACGTCTGCTAAGGGCCATGAGCTGGATGCCTCCGTGCAGCCTCTCCATGCAGCCTGGGCTTCCTTTCCACGTGGCAGTTCCAGCGGTAGGGGCCCGGCACTCACACCCCAACTGAAGAACTGGGGCTCTATGTCCAGGTCAGAGGACAAAGCTGCTGTATTGGACGGACTGAAGGTCTGTGTGCCCATCTCTAACACGGTGCACTGGCAAGGGTGGGTTTTGGAGGGTGATTTTGGGGGGATACGTGGGGTCTCAGATCATATGCCCACCTCAGAACCCTCTCACGTGGTAGGGTGTGAAGTGGGTGTCCTGTGCACCCAGTCACAGGCAGCAAGGCTGGGTGGGTAGGGGAGGAGGATCTGCAGACTGAATGCCCCGGCTGCTCTGGGGGCCGGGCAGGCCACTGTGCAGCTGGTTGGGGTGTAACCAGAGGCCCCTGTCACCTTACTCCACCTGCATCCCACCCAGAAGGCGATTGCTACACACCGAGAGGGTCAGTCTGTGCCCTCTTGATCCCCAGGCCCCTGCTGGCCTGCAGCCCTTCCCCACCTCAGTGTGGGAGGGTGTGGACATAACAGGGCTGGTCAGAAGAAGCCTGGGATGTCTGAGGCCACCCCCCAGGGCACTGTTGACAGATGACATCCAGACGAGCACTTCCCCCTCACCTGCAACCCCCAACCCCCAGGACGCCGTGCTCCATTCAGTTACTGCTGCCCCCTCTCCCCCACCAAGCCTGGACGAACTATGTGCTGGCGGGGGCCTTGCTTACAGGGAGCAGCAGTGTCCTGCTCCCTGGGGACTGCATGGCCGACAAGGGGAAACTGAGAAGCAAAGGACGTGAGCTGGGAGACCCTGAGTCACCTACCCAGCAAACCTTCCAGGCTCAGACTTCACCGGGCTCCAGCTGCCCCCAGCCAATGCCATCTGTCCCTGTGGGGGAGGCTGAGACCAGGTTGCGGTGCGCCCCCTGGTGGCGGCGGCGCACTCGGTCCCTGTGGACGGACTACTACTGGAGAGTGCTACAAGCCTCCCTTCCTCCTCTTCCCCCTGAAGGTCCTCGTGCTCAAGTCGGGGAGGCCAACACCTCTACCCCTGAAGTCTCTCCAGCCCACCTGGACCTCGGGGGGGATGCTTCTGCTCCTGGGGGCATTTGTACCAGTGGAGGGTGCAGGTTTTGTTTGCTGCAGTGATTGAAGTGACACTGCTGACCTTTGGTGGCTGGAGTCCAGGAGGGCGGGTTGTCTGACAATCCGGACAACGAAGCCTGTGTCACGTCTCCCACAACTTGCAGATACCCCACTGACATTCACAGGGAACTTGGTCACACAGAATCTCAGCTGTTGCTACTTGATGCGGTGGTAATTCTTATTTAGCGTTCGCCTCTGTCCTTCGATTTTCCTGCATGTCTTGTTTGAAGTTGCTTCTGGATCTCTCATTTCCCTGCAGTCCCAAGTGGTAATTCCCTGCCGACTCCGTTACTGCTCCTCGTGCAATCCCGCCTGAATGCCCACAAATTCACACACATGCATTAAAATATCACTTTTCTTCTCATTTCTCTGCTATCGTTCAGTTTGTGCATTCAAATGCTTGTTTTTGTTTTTGTTTTTAAAAACGTGTTATGTGACAGGACTATATGTGAGTGTCCTTTTAGGATAAAAAAGGAGTGTCAGGTATATTAAGGTTGAGGCCCAGTGACCCGGTACATACTATTGGTGTGTGAACCCAAAGAGAAAATCTAGCTGGAATACAGTGGGTCCAGAGGAACACTTTTCCAGTCAAGGACCAGTGGGTTCCTAGCCACAGGACCCCTAGATCCCCTGGTCCTGGCAAAAATCCCAAATAAATCCTGGGCCCTCTAGCTACTTGATAACCATTGCATGTTTCTCCCTGGAGTGTTACCTATTTTTTTTAATGTTTTTTTTTTTTTTAATTTATTTCTGGGAGAGAGAGAGACAGCGTGAGCAGGGGAGGGTCAGAGAGAGAGGGAGTGACAGACTCTGAAACAGGCTCCAGGCTCTGAGCTGGCAGTCAGCACAGAGCCCGACGCGGGGCTCGAACCCACAAACCGCGAGATCATGACCTAAGCGAAAGTCGGAAAGTCGGACGCTTAACCGACTAAGCCACCCAGGTGCCCCTGTGTTACCTATTTTTACGACCTTCGCTGCAGCCAGGGTATGACTTCATTTTCTATTTCTGCCTCTTTTTATTATCCCAGGGCTGAGTTGGCAGTCATGTGTAGCCCTAAAACTAGTCAAAGTGACTGGTGGGTGGAGAGTAGAATATAAGGACAGCCTGGACCCCAGAACTGGTCACCACAGACTGTGGCTCTGGTCTCCCTTCTGTTTTAAAAGAACATCAGACTCAGGTGATTTGCTTATTCTTTATTGCTTTCCCAAAGGAGAGCCCTAGCTCTTCACTAGCTACTGATGGTCAGTCGGCCAGGTGGCCAGAACCATGCTGGGCTTTGTGAGGGTTTCACAGAGATCCACCGTCTCTGCCCTACGACTATAAGAGAGTAGGAGAGAATGCATGCAGAGGACAATGAAAGAATGAATGTGATAGTCATGTAGCTTTATAAGAGGATCCCTAAGACCCAAGTCAGTGGTAGTGATTATAGGTGACAATGACTCAGATTGACTCGCTGATTGGCTCTTATCCCTTAATAAAGTTTACCAGCTTCAGGTACAGCTGGATCCAGAGATTTGAAGGATTTCATTCCAACGTGGTCTCCCCGGCCCTCCTGCCCTCTTCCTTTCCTACCTGCTTTTCTCTTTTTTGCTTTTGTTTGCAGGCACGCTTTCCATACCTTGGCAGTAAGACAGCTGCCAGCACCTCTGGAATCTCATCATAAGAGTTCAGTGACCCCAGGCTCATTTTCCAGAGACACCTGCACAGAGGTCACAGGGAAGGTTCTCAGTGGCTTGCTTTGTGTCACATGCCCACTCTGGAACCAGTCACTGACCAGTGAATGGACTGAACTGGCCAGCATACGTCCTGTGGAACCCCTTCTGTCTAAGCTGGGGGCAGCGTGGGGTTATCAGAAAGACCGCTAGAAGCTGGGCACCCCTCCACTAGAGGCACAGACAGAAAGTGCTGAGTTTATCCAGGGATGATGTCCCAGAGTTTTTTGTGTACTCTGCCCCAAATGACCTCTTAAGCCAGAGAGGTGAAATTGGGATTGGGTCCTTTCCCTGCCTAAGCTCTGCACTTCCCTTCCCTGTATTTTCTGGGGTTGTAGGGCCGCTATGCCTCTGCAGTTTGGCTGTTAAAATAAGAATTAGGACTGATCTTGGTCTCAGGGGAGGGATATGGTCCTGGAATGGGAGAGGGTATATGTCTGCGTTTGTCTGTGTGTGTATACATATGTGTATATATGTGTGTGCATGCATGGTGTGTTCATATGTATGTAAAAGTACATGGTACATGTGTGCATTCATGATGTGTGTGTACATATGGATGGTGCATGTGTGTATATTTGCAAGTTTGTGTGCATGAGGTGTGTGTGTATAGGGTGTGTGTGTGTATGTGTGCGCGCATATGTTTGTGTGTCTGTGCATGGGGTGTGCATGTATAGGGTGTGTGTGTGCGTGTGCATATGTGCATGGAGTATGCATGCATGTGTGTATGTACATTGTATGTGTATGCATGTGTATGTGTGTGCATGTATATGTGTGTATGTGTGTGTGCATGGGGTGTGCATGTATAGGGTGTGCTTGCATGTGTGTGTGTATGGGCTGTGCATGTATAGGGTGTGTGTGCGTGCATGTGTGTGTGGAGTATGTGTGCATGTGTGTGCATGTATGATGTATGTATGGTGTGCGTGTGTGTATAAGGTGTGCCTGTATAGGGTATGCATGCATGTGTGTGTGTATGGGCTGTACCTGTATAGGGTATGTGTGTGTGTGCATGTGTGTATGGAGTAAGTGTGCATGTGTGTGCACATATGCATGTGTGTATGAGGTGTGCATGTGTAGGGTGTGTGTGCATGTGTGTGTATGGGCTGTGCCTGTATAGGGTTTGTGTGTGCATGTGCTTGTGTGTGTGTTTGCCAGATGGAGAGCATACTGCGTAGAAGGCAGGAGGAACTTCTCCCCGACCTAGTTTTACTTCCTTCGCTCCAGGGTCCTGTCATTCTCTGTAGCTCCCAATACCCAACCTTCATTGCATGGTTAGCTTGCTGAGCCCACGGCCAACTTCAGTTTCTAGTTCACATGCAGCCCTTGATATGGAGAATGATGAGAGAACTGTTTTATTCACAGTCAGGACAAACAACCTGAATGGAGTTACACTTCTCAGCAGGAGGAGAGACCCTTCTGGCTCAAGCAGCATGGACTCTGCCAGCTTACCCTCAGAATTCCATTCTCCATCTGCTCTCATGGAGTGGTCGGGGATTGTGGAGAGGACGTGGCTTTGGGGGTCCTAAACCCTCTGGTTGAACTTCTGGCTCTGCCTATCGTCAGCCGTGTGACACGGCAGTTCACTAATCTTGCTGAGCCTGTTTCCTTACCCCTGAGATGGGGATGACACCACTAGCTTTTCAGGGTGTGTTGGAAAGGGATGAGGTGTGCAGAGCTCAGTGTCAGTAGGTGCTCAGTACCAGGAAAGGCTGTGTACTTCAGGCTTCTTCCTGAAGGAAACTCCTTTGGGGGGGTGGTGCTTGAATGCTTATCACAGGGCCTCTCTAGATGACGATGAGCTGGGCTTCGTCAGTGGACTGCAAGACCTCACTTTTCTGCCAGCTCCCCCTTCTTCATCCTTCAGCTCAGCTCATCCACCCCTTC